GAGGGAGTAAAAGTTTATAATATTCGATTCGTTCATTTTACTGCCCTAGTCTGAAGAAATTCTCGGGGACCAGACTCATCATTCTTTTTTTATTGTATGGTTGTACTCCGGAGCAAAGATAAGACTTGTCTCTATGATTCAACATTTCATTTGTCGCAAAATTGTTACGTACATCAGTTGCATGTAACATTTTCATTCTTTAATCGTGAAAATGCTAAGGTGCTCCCAATATGGATCATCGACTGCTTGAAGAATAAATAATGAGAATACAAACACGAAAGCTGTGTAATTATAAAAGGGAATTTAAGCATGGAGGTCCTCGACCTTTTTACCTGTTCAATAATAATACAATGTGCTCAAGCCTAGAGAAAGGCTTTGAAATAACATAGGGAGAGTATATTATAAATCCAACACAAATTCATAAGACAAATAATCTTCTCTTCTTTTGGGAGGGGAGGGGGGGGGGGTCTAGATAAACAAACTGCTGCGTCCATGGTCGGTCAATCACGGGAACCTCGCTTCAGTTGCTCTAGGCCTACAAATAAATCATGTTACAAAGATTAGATTTCTACTGGTTTTAGAATCACAAAGTCTGTTTTGGCTTCTATTTTTGACCAATATGAGTTATAGACCTACGGTTTCCAAGAAGCAATTTTGGAAATCACATCTATGGTTCTATCAAAAATCCGTGTCGTGGCGCCTGATTCTATATTAGAACATCTTTTTGAAAACGCAAACCAATGTCACCCCATATATTGGAATCAATATCGACCAATCTTTTGCCAGCATCAAGCTCGGTATGATTGGATGCAGCAACAGGTGTGAAAGGACAAATGTTTCATGACCAATATGGAGGAGTGAAATATGTGATTCACAGTCTCTCTCCTTTAATTAAACTCCAAAGTTTATTTTGGGATGGAGGGGAAAAAATTAGTGATAAACTTGTTATCATTTTGGCTCAGTGGAAATTATTTTCTATTTTGTGACATTACGATTATAGATGGAACATATTCACAGTCATTACTAAATGATCATGATAAGGTGGCCCCACCGGATCTTATATACCCTGCACCTGATTATGCAGGGTAAAAAACTATGGCTCTAGATAGAAATCACAACATACCTTGTTAGCAATGTTGTTGGAAAGCCAATCAAGACCTTCATAGAGCCCCTCGCCGGAAGTTGCACAGGTGCTCTGGATGTACCTGGAACCCGCAAAGGGGTGACAAATCGTTAAGACACAGAAAGAATCAAAAACGGAAAGTTCGATGAGAACTTAAAAGACAATTACCAGTGGCGTTGCCTCAAAGAGTGGAGGCCAAGCTTGTCTGTGATCTCGGCAGCATTCATGGCATTGGGAAGATCTTGTTTGTTGGCAAACACCAGCAGGACTGCATCTCGAAGCTCATCCTGGAGTAAGAGACCAGATCAGATAAAAATTGAAGCCTTAAAGTAAGGATGCAGATGATGGCAACCCATTTGGCAGAAAAAAATTCAAAAAGATTAGAGGCAATTGTGCACTCCATTGGAGTAACACAAACACATACCATACATTGATGCCAGAAATGAATAAATATGGAGCATATAAATAATATACTCCGTATTAGTTAAGCAGTAGGGCGAAGATGAATATCACCAAAAGAAAGTGAAAGAGGAGGCAGAAAGGTGAAACAGAGATATGTATCATTAGTTTATTTCTACCAGTCAGTAACCGATTTTGATTTGGTATTCGACCCATATATCTACAAGAGACTATACTGTGTACATGCATAAACACCCTTTATTGGTTATTTTATATACTACAGAGTACTTGGGACAAATGACTATCACATGTTTGAGCTGAAGTATGATCCCACCAAGAACCACATGAGTACAAAAAGGAGCTTCTTAAATACTACGCAATTCTTACAGTTTGAACATAAAGTTCAGAAAAATCTCGTTTTGAAAAGTGGAAATGAGTAGTATCACACTGACCAACTGACCGACAGCCCAAAAATCACTGTGTAGATTGGGTGAAGGCATGAAGAAACACTTGTTCAATAATAATTTAATAACAATTTGACAAATGAGATGTAGAGTGAATATCATTATGCAAAATATTTTCACATTCCCACAGAATAAGACTCAGAAGAGTGAAAGGATTTCCCATACCTCATTCAGCATCCTATGCAACTCATCCCTTGCTTCCACAACACGGTCCCTATCATTGCTATCAACAACAAAGATGAGGCCTTGTGTATTCTGGAAATAATGCCTCCATAATGGGCGAATCTACCAAATGCACACAAAAACAAAGTGCAGATTATGCATCAATTAAGATTTTGCAAAGGGAAGTAAAAAAAATGCACATATTTCATGCAACAGAGAAAAGTTCCACAGGGATAGAACAAAAAGAAAGGAACCTATCAAGAGAGAATTTGATCTTGAAACATTCTCTTGAGTCTTAACCGAATGAAATTACTATGAAAAATTGGCACAAATTTCACTAAAAGTGGTTAACTCGGAAAAAAGATGCAAAAAAAAAAAAAACCATCATACCTTGTCCTGGCCCCCAACATCCCAAACTGTGAAGCTGATGTTCTTGTACTCTACAGTTTCCACATTGAAACCTGCAGAAAACCAATCATTACTATTAGCGCAACAAAAAGCACCAGTTGGATATTCATATAAAAGGTTAATATATTTTGATCAATGAAAGCCGCAAAGTGATGGGGAGAGCTACTCCCATAGAGAAGGAGAAGGAAAAAAAGAAAAAGAAACTTTAAAGTTTAGATTTTGCGAATCTTAATAACGTTATACCAAATGTAAGGAGTATATGTCTAGCCTCATGATATGTACATTTGTATTTTCAAACCCAACAGGCATAAGTCGTGTTTATGCAATGTCATATTGCATACTACTCCATGCATCCCAAAAAACTTCCCACTTTTTTTTAGATTGTCCCGTAATAGATATCATGATTTTTTCCTTTTGGTTACAGAATTTTGAGGTCATTATTTCTCTCCTTTGCATAAACTTCAATAACACAATTTCACAATTCTTAAGCTTTGTGCAAAAAAACAAATGAGAAGTTTAATTTGAGACGGAAGGGTAATATGGCAGTAATGGTGCATTGCAATATATAACATGAAAACCAGATAAAAACCCCATCTAGGATAGTAGCAAGCAACATATTCATTCTTTCGAAGGGCTCAATAGACATGTAGACAACTGTACCAAAACCATACTACATAACTCAATTAAGAGAACTTTTAAAAACATTGAGGGGAAAGTGCATACCGATGGTAGGGATGGTAGTGACAATCTCTCCGAGCTTCAGCTTGTACAAGATGGTGGTCTTACCAGCTGCATCCAGACCGACCATCAGAATGCGCATCTCCTTCTTGGCAAAAAGCCGGCTGAAAAGCTTGGTGAAACTGAGACCCATTCCGATCTCTCACTAATCACACCTGCGTACGGACAAATCAAAATTACATCAAAATAAATTGATCAGATCTCAAGAAGAAAAATCAAATTGTGATATAGCCTACTCTCCACCTGCATCGTACAGATCAGAGATTTAAAAAACGCGTCAAAAACAAAGGAATGCATTTAAGTGTATAGAACGGCTTGAAATGACACGATCTCAAATCTCAAAATTCTGAATTCGAGCCCTGCAGATTTACAGAGATTGCAACCATCTCAAGCACCAATCCACAGATCAGATGAATACAATCAATTAAACCATTAAATTCCGGTAAAAACTGCACCAATACATCACGATTGACCACTCATTGAAGCATTGATCGTGTTTTACCGATAAAAAACATAAGATTTGCGAATCAGAAACGCAAACACGTTATCCGGCATCGAGAACAGGGAGAGAATTTCAGTTCAGACGTACCAGAGGAGAATTCCGGGGAGCTGGATCTGAAGAAGAGAGAAAGCGCGCGCGGACGGAAGAGGATGAAGAAATGGAGCCAATGGGAAATCTTTGGAACTTGTGAGGCTAATAAATAAAGGCCGACAGGGTGAGGGTGCTAATTGCGTAAAATGTTTCTTAATTGAAATTTTGTAATGGAAATGGACCATGCTACACTTACACACATGCTACACTTACACTGAAAATTGTACCTCATTTGTACGCCGCAGTTATACACAAACATTTTAATGATTTACACTGACACAAGTGTTGGTGCGTTAACAAAAAATTACACGGACACAAAATGTTGGTACGTTAACAAATATTAGTTTACACCAGCATAAAATGTCGGCGCAAATCTGCGGTATACAAATGGAGTAAAAGTGTGGGGTACAAATAGCTTTGTCCAATGGAAATTTATTTGTGCACCGACCCTACACAATCTCATTCCCCTAAGCTCAGATTCGGTCGGAAGATTACTAAAAAAGATAAATAATTACAGATTGGTGATAGAGACTGAAGCCTTCCAACGCTGTTGATAGACATCGAACTCAGATCTACCCCTTGGAACTTTATACATTTGTCAACTACCCAACGTTTACCGTCACACACAATCTCATTTCACAACCATTGCAAAAATGGTTTCTTTCTATTTATATACGGAGTACATAAAATTAAATTTAGTTAAAATAAATGCATAAAAAATTTGTTTTTCCTTATTATATCTTTGGGAACCTGAATATAAATTTCAAATTCAGATTTCATTCAAATCCCATGTTTGGAAACTTTAAGAAATTTGAATTTGGATTTGTGACAACTTTTGTAAATTCATAACAAAACTCAATTTAAAATTCATATATCTCCATTTTCATTTGAAATTGAAGAATTCAAATTTGGGATTAAAATGTAAGAATCAAAATAAAATATAAGTTTTCAAACAATATCTTTCAAAATTCACAAATTTACTCGTTTGTGAGCACAATTAAACTTATGATATAGATTATACACACATATATTAGATAAGGTTTTATATGTAAAGAATGGACATCAAGTTCTCTACATCGATCTGCTCATTTATTTTTCAGACGAATAATAAAAATAAAAGATAGTGTCTTTCTTAAATTACAGGTTACATGTTTGATCCCAATGGATGTGATAACTCTCACGTTGAGAAAAAGTATGAACAGGTGCTACATTGTAATAGAGTTATTAATGATTTTAAAATACTCTGAATTTAATTTGAACAATTTTCCCGGAGTTAACAAACAATTTCTCCAAGAACCAAAGTATGATCAAGCCCAGCCACAGCTTCCAATAATTCAAAATCTTGACAAAAATCCACTAGCATTGGCTCAGCTTCATCTGCAGAACTACACAACCCTAACCTTCCATTCTTACCACAGCCCCAAGCCCAAACCTCATTCTTAGTTGTGACCACAAGGGAATGTGCCCTCCCGGCGGACACCAACTTAGGGGTCCCCCCCTCCAGCCCTTCGACCTGTAGGGGAATGTGCCCTAATGCCGCCGCAGGACATTGCCTCCCGAGTTGACAACTCTGGTTCCATCCCCATGAAAATACCTTTGGTCCGGACGAAGGGTCCTCGCAAACCGCCAAAGAGTGCCCTAAACCCGAAGCTACGCTCGAGGCACGGAAGCCGCCTATGTCGACAGGGTGAAGTCCCAAATCTTGACTTGTCCTTCCTAGCTGCCCATATGCATTGCTTCCCCCACTTAGGAGTGTGCCATCACCTGAAATTCATAAAAATTTAATCCTTTTTTTTCCAACGCTTCGCAAATACTCCCTCAGCCTCATTTTAAATTGTCTCTTTTCCTTTTTTGTCTGTCCCAAAATAAGTTGTCTGTTTCTTATTATATGGCAAGGTTCCACCAGGGGGGCGCTCCGGTGCCCCGTTTGTAAAATTGACGGTTCCTACCCCCCTAACCCCCGGTAAACCCACCCGCCCCGCCCTGCCCCCTTCAATTGCACTCAACAAGTTGATTTTGACTTTGGAGTCAAATTTTGAAAACAGACCATATAAAATGGGACGGAGAGAGTACAATAGACATTTTCGGGACTTCGGGGGTGTTCTTTTTAACAACTTTATATTCCAAGAATCCAGATTCTACATTTTGGCCAAGTTTAAGACGAAAAGAACAGGCTTTTACCTCGTATTCCTCGTTTGGGAGGAGAGTAATTAAAAACAAAAATCAAAATCAAAATCAAAATCAAAATCCCAGAAGAGTGGGGTCTGAGGAGGATGTGTGTGCGCAGACCTTACCTCTACTTGGAAATAGTGAGACTGTTCCCAAGAGACCCCAGCCCAAAGTAAGCACAATAGCATGAACAATGTAAGAGTACAAGCACAAGGAGTGTTAATTATGACAGCTTACTGCAAACAACCAAAGAGTGGTCAAGCCCGCAAGCAATGTCTTCAACTGTCACCCCAAGTAGCTCCTCCACCAAACCGGGCTTCCATATAACGGGCATATCTTTTTCCTTCTCTATGGCTTCGAAAACCGACTGCTCGGCAGCTTCTTCTGCTGAGATGAAAGTCTTCTCGGGCGATCTGAGCCGAGGAGATTTATATTCCTCCAATGGGGAGATTTCCAACTCTTTCCCCATCTTCCCTATCCTCCCATCTGCATAATATCCCCAGCCGAACAATTTCCCACTTGCAGACATTGCTAGAGCATGCCCCCAACCAAATGATGCCTGCAAATACCCAAAAAAAAAAACTTTTTTCATTTTTGTAAGGTACAACCGTTGGAAATAATCAGATATAGGTTTGTTTTTCGAGTTTCTTTGTTGGTTTAACTAGATTTAATATGCTCAACTTGTTTGAGACAAAATTTTATGAAAAGGAAAACATTAAATATCATGAGACGAAAAAGGTTGAGATGATGTCTCTGCAGATGAAGAAAAAACATTATATCTTCAGCGTGGTTGGAAAACGACCTTAACTATATGTTCTCCAGCAAGTGTTTCAACCCTGGAGGGTAAAACAGCCTTTTTGAGTCCTTCCCCGAGACCAAGCTGCCCATTTTTAGAAGTTCCCCAGACCCACAGAGACCCGTCCTCTGCAAGGGCAGCAGAGACAACACCAGAAGCAAATGCAGATCGAACCCTCACTTTATCTAGCCCTTCTACCCTCTTCGGTTCATTCCATTTTTCTCTGAATCAAATCAGAAAGAAGAAAATGAAATGGCACATTTGTTAGCATAACCCTCCGTTCTACTCAAAGAAACAGTCTTTAAGTTATAAAAAAAGAGCAACTCATATTGCATGGATTAGATTGTAACACTCTCCTAGGTTCGAGGAATTTGGAAGGGAAAAGAAAAGAAAATGGTAAAGGAAAACAACATTGAGGTTTGGTTAGAATGGAGAAGAAAAAAAAATGGGAAGGAAAAGAAAAGTTGAGGAAAATATAGCCAATTTCCACCTCTCAACAATCAAAGAAATGAGTGATTGAAAAATAATTTCTTAACCAATTTCCATACTAACCAAACAAGATTAGCACTTTCCTTTGTTTCCCAATTCCTCGAACCAAAGATAGTGTAAGAAGAGAAGGCTACCTAGGGGAAAGATGGTGGCGACCAAGCTGAGCTTCGGTGTTACGGCCCCATGAATAAACATGACCCTCGCGAGTAACAGCAATAGAGTGAAAGTGGCCGGCAGCAATGCTGGTGACATCACAAGGGAGGCCCGAAATGGGAGTGGGCTCGTAAACATCGGAGCCTAGCCCAACTATGGGCATTGGGAGGCCCAAAGCTCCGTGGCTTCCATCCCCAAAGCTCATCACGGTTCGTCCCCTCTGGCTACATATCCATCGCCTGCTCAGTCCGACAAGAAAACCAGACGTTGAGAATCTCTGTCTCTTGAATGAAAACATCAGTTGCATCTCATTGTCATAGACTTTAGTCCTACAAAATCAAGAGAAGCCTTTCTTCAATACTGTTATGTACTACTAGAGTACTAACAGTTCAATTCAACTTGTAGTAGAGAGTTCATAGGAATGGCCTACGGCAGACATAAAAGAAACAAAATAGGATCCCTATCTCAAAAACTGGTTCCTATGATTAAAAAACAAATGCTCCAACAACTACAACAACAACAACAACAAACCCAATAAAATCCCACAAAAAGTAGGGTCTAGGGAGGGTGTGCTTACACAAACCTTACTCCTAGTTGAAAATAGAGAGGTTGTTTCTAATGGACTCCCGGCTCAACCATAGAAGAACCAACAAAGTAAACATATTAGTGCGAAGAGAGTAAGAGCACAGACACAAAGAAGAAACGTATCGGAAAATTACACCAAATCATAGATTATAGAACCAAATATCCCAAACAAGCTTTTGCATTTAAAAAAAGACTAAAAGAACAAGCTTTTTTTATGGTTTTGGGGAAACAATACATTAAGAAAAGATCTCCCAAAGAAACACATAAGCTCAATTTCTCTTTACAATGCACAAGAAACACAATAAAAAGGAAACTTTTACAATCAATTCTCATTCCTCGCCCGGAGGCGAGCCAGGCCACACACTAAGTCTTTCCTTCTCGTACTTAGCATACACCGCCGCAGCCGCCGCCACGAAGTATACCTGAAGCACAACTACCGCCGGCGTATGATACTTTACCACCGCCTGACCAGTCGCCAGCTCCACCATCAACAAAGCAAATAATCCCAGAATTGCCATCCGACCGTTGGCCCGTTCCGAATACCGGGTGAACCCGAACTCCACATTCAGCCCCTCCGACGCCGGTTCTTGCAGTGGCACAGGCGGGAGGTAGATCCCGGATCCAGGCTCTGACCCTCTCATCTTCGCTTGTCGAGCCTTCCTTCGCTCCGCCTTCTTACCCACTCCTGTCCGGTAACGGATCCGGAATCTGGAGAGCCGGGAATCGAAGTCGTCAGGTTCGGAGGTTGCCTGGGATTTTGCTTCTTCGGGACCGGATGGGGAATCTCCGGCGGCCGCACGGAGGGTGAACCGCAAATAGGTCTGGGCGTGGGGTTTAAAAGGGGAGAGGGCGATTAGGGATCTGGAAAATGATACCGTCGCCATTTTTATGCCTTCTTGAGGTGAGGACAAGAACTTATCTTCGTTCTTGCTCGATCTTTATACTAAATGGGGATAAGGGTATTAGGGAGTGGACAAAAAAACAGTCTTTTGATTTAAGAATTAATTTTTAAAACGAAATTGGGGGAGAAAATCAGAAGAAAATCGAGGGTTCTTAATAGAATTCAACCACAAGAAACGAAACCTGGTGTTGAATTCTCCAGCCAACCATTGTCTTCTTCAGGGGCACAGCACACTGCGGTTTATAGGAAGGCGCTGATGAACAAATTCTGCAAAAAATTGCAGAATAAGCAGAAGCATTGGCTCTTTTGTGCGTCATTAGCTTGAGAATAGTATGAACAGATACTACCTTATAATAGAGTCAATAGCATTAAAAAAAAGCAGAACATCTGATTGAACGGTACTAGTTTACCTCCGAAATTCTTAACGTTCTTCCTTATCTTTTTTACGAATTGGTTCCATTGCCCAGTGGTCTTTTGGAGCATTTTCAATGTTTGTTCAAAAAATTAATTATTTTTTCTCCGCAATGGTCTTTTGGAGCATTTTCAATGTTTGTTCAAAAAATTAATTATTTTTTCTCTTTAAAAACTTGTTCCTTTTACTTGGTTTGATTGATTTGATTGTGGAAGAAGAATTGTTTTAAAAAACAGAAGGAGTGTATAGAATTATTCTGTTATCGTTCGGTTTGATACATGAAATTTAAGTTATGAAATTGGAATTGAAGATTCTAATTTCAATTCTTCTGTTTGGTAGCACAAAAATTTATGGAATTAGAATTGAATTCTAATATCAATTCTTCCCATTCCAAATTTTTAATTTCATCACAGGAAAAGAATTGGAAATCCAAAATTTGAATTCTGGGTCAAAATCAAATGACGCGGATCTTTTCAAGGTTATAACAAAGAAACAAATCTTATCAATTAAAAACATAAAATTAAAATTTAAAATTTAAAAGTAAAAATTTAAAATTTAAACTTAATTTAAAATTTAGAATTTAAAATTTAGAAATTTGAAATTTTATTTTTAAATTTTAAATTTTACACTTTAATTTTTTAATTTTAAATTTCAATTTTTAAGTTTTATATTTTTATCATCCCCACAATTAAGGTTTGAATGAGGTTTGAAAATGACTAGGATTTTGTTTTGAATTATCCTACTGCGAGAAATCCCGAAATACACTTCCGTATCAATTTTATTTATAATTTTGTGTTACCAAACAAAGAGTTTGGAATTACTCCCTCCGTCCCCCTAAGATGTTCTCATTTTGACTTTTGGTGGTTTTTAAGGAGAGTTGAAAAAAAGTGAAAGTTTACCATAATACCCTTAATGAAAAATGGGTGGAGTGTATTAAATGAGGTGGGTGAGGTGTAATAAATAAAGTAAGTGGGGGTAGTTGTGGTATTTTAATTGTTAAAAAATGAAATGAGAAGATCTATTGTGGACAAAGAAAAAAGGCTATTGAGAAGATCTATGGGGGACGGAGGAAGTATAATACAATTCTAAATCAAATTTGTAATTATACCAAAAAAAAGATTTGGAGTTAAATTCTACGGAGTACGTAGTAATTCAATTCTATCCAATTCAATTCCATAGAATTCTAATTCCAAATCTACTTTAACTTTTTTGGGTCAAACTTTAATCATCAATTACTCTTAATTTGCATTACTACCTCCGTCCTTGAGTATTTGTCCAGTTTTGATTTTTTTGGGTTAACTGTTTTTAATATTTGACCTATAATTAAATTAAATATATATTATATATTAATTAGATAATATAATATTTTGGAAATATTTGATATAATAAATCTAATAAAACTATTTTTGTATCAATATCTAATATCATTTTTATTTAAGTTGAGGTCGAAGTTTACCACCAAAAACAGTCAAAAGTGAACTACTCGGGGACGGAGAATATACTCGTAATAGATAAAATTTTGAAACATCTCAATATATATAAATATAGTAAAATTATATTTATACTTAAATTAATTGTAATCTTTATTTATTTGAAATTTAAAGTTTGTCTAAATTTACCTTTAAAAAGTCAAACTAGATAAGGAAAAATTTTCCCAGATTATAAAAGTTTTATTCAATTATTACTTATTACTATGAAGTTATATTTTTGGTTTTTCTAACTGTTCTTTTATTGTGCCTTTCTCGATCCAAAAGGTGGAATCGCCCACCCTAGGTGCCCCCACCCCTGGCCCGACAGAGACGGTGGAGGAGGTAAGTCATGATGATTAGTGGGCCAAGAACGCTAGACCCAAGTTAAGGGTTACCCCAAGTTATTGTTAGAAAAGTATTATCGCGGCACAATAATTGGTTCACGAGGGGAGGTGCCACGTGATGGGTAACGGAAAGAAAATTTGGTTTTGGGAACACATGTGGCTAACCTGAATGGATGGCCCGGAGGGTGTATAAAGTGACCAACTATATAGTATTTTAAAATTATCATTAACTTTGAAGCATGAATATTTTAAAATAATAAAATGTGGTCCAAAATGTAAATTTCGGATCGGGCCTATTTCATTTTTTCGAGGCAGGCCCTGCTAACTCGTGGCTAACCGGTATTCGTGAGGTCCAGATGTTCTCGGACGATTTGAATGTGCTCGAGGCTGCAAAATGAATATGAAGTTTCGTAACGTTCATATTTCGGTGGAATATATTTGTTGTTAAATGCTTGACTCTCATAGATTCCTTTGATGTAACTACTTGAAAAAAAAAAATAACACAATTAACAAACAAACGAACAATGACTAAATATTAAAATAAAAAAAGAGCACTTTTTTCTTTTTAAATCACGAAGTACATAAAAACAAGAATGAAGCGTATTTTTTCATCCGAAATATAAACTTGGGCCTTCTGGCACAGCTTATTAAAGTGGTACACGGGGGAATTGGGCCTTCATTCCGGAGCGTAGATTTTCCCACACCGGCAGAACAAGTTCTAGTATTCGCGATCATATACTCCGGCGTAGCTGTAGCTAACTTCCCTCCGGGGACATCCGATAAAATTGGAACGATACAGAGAAGATTAGCATGGCCCCTGCGCAAGGATGACATGCACAAATCGAGAAATGATCCAAATTTTTTTTCCCTTTTTTTTCCTGCCCAGATTCTTGAAATTTATTGATCAATAATGCTTTCAAGTTTATAACTTTATTCTGCAAACTGATCAATAATGCTTTCAAGTTTACAACTTTATTCTGCAAACTGTTTAAATTTCATATGCAATGTTACAGAAGTTCTACTCAAACAGACTCATTGATTTCTTAGGTGATTATGATTGCACTTGGATGAAATGCACTGCAAAAAAAATGATTTTTTCCCTCATACATTGCTATTACTCTCTCCGATCTTAAAACCTTTTCCTAATTTGATTATTTTTGTCAAACAGTGACACTCTTTGACCTCAAATCTAACATAATCTAAATAAATATATGATATAAGAATTTGATATATCAAAACTATATCCTAAGATGAAACCAATTATGTTGAATTTCTATTATAATTAAATATAGTTTTCTCACAATTTATAGTCAAAGAGTGTCACTGTTTGACCAAAAAAAGTTAAAATAAGAAAGATTTTTAGAACTGGAGAGAAATTTACTTTTGTATTCTTGTTTTCAATAGTTTCTATCTTCTTTTTTTTTTGAAAATTCGAAATGTGTATTTATATTTTCAAGTAATCTCAGTCCGAACTTGCAGAGAAAAGGAACAACCAAAGGTTATTTTGATTGCAACTCTTGTTAGAAGTGGGCAAGGGTTGGAAGAGTTTGAATTTTTAGTTGACTCAGTCTTACTCTCGTTTTCTACAAACGAATCGGGACGGTCCGGGACACAAGGTTGTCCTACTTCGTCTCATTTATCTATTTTGAGATCGGGATAATTCAAAATGGTTAAGGACGTCCTGATTCAAATTTTCAATCAATTTTAAACCTAAATTTTTTTAAATTACTAAACCATAAAGATAACTCAAAAGTTTTATACAAAAATGTTCAGTAAATTCTTAAATAAAGTGTAATACAAACATTTTCAATATAGGATGACAAATGTCAACATCGAGACATTCTAAAATACTTCTCCCGTCTCAAATTTGATTGCATTTTTTTCCCTTTTCTCGATAATTTGTTTTGTTTATGCGATTACATTAAGTATTTGATTAAATAAAATATTTTTATCTGTTTTGACGTAGTTTTTTAATATGTAATTTTTATTTCTTATCGATATACCGAATTGTAAATAAAATGATTTCAAAAAGTGAGATATTTTTTCTCATAAACTTCAATTTGTAATCAAATTGGGGACAGAGGTAGTATTAGACTAATCAATTTGAATTCAATTCTAATGTCGCTAGTCGATTACCAAGCTTGCCCTGAATTCCCTTCTTTCTCCTCCAAAGCTTCATAAATCTCTGAGAGCATCTGGGTGGCCGAAAATGGAGTCCAAGAGAAGTGTCATTTCTTCTGCATTCTTTTTCTTCAACAAGTTTAGCCGGAGAAGACTATCTGTGTCGTCGTCTCCTCTCATGCCCGTCAAAATGGCAGCTGAAACTGGTACTTCTTTGCCCTCTTCCCTGTCCTCACTTCGTTCATTTCAATCTCTCTCTCAAATTGTTTCTTCTTCACATCAGAATCGCGTTCATTCCGGATATGATATTAGTTCAGTGCATGATTTAGACCACGCCCATGAACTGTTCGATCAAATGCTTAGCTCAAGACCATTGCCTTGTATCATTCTGTTCAACAGACTGCTCAGTAGAATTGTGAAAATGAAACATTATTCAGCTGTTGTTTGCATTTTTAAAGAAATGCTCATTCGGGGCATCCCCATCGACACTTACACCCTTAACATTCTGATTGATGCCTTCTGTCGCGCCAATCGGGTGGATTGCGGGTTTTGTGTGATTGGGATGTTCTTCAAGTGTGGAATTGATTTCAGTTCGGTGACATACAATACCCTGATCAAAACTCTATGTCTGAAGGATAAGATTGCGGAGGCTGTAGAGCTATTTAGGATGTTTGTGCGGGACAATTCGTGTGAAGTTGATAATTTAACTTGTAACATTCTTATGAATGGACTTTGCAAGGCGGGTAATACTCAAACTGCCCTTGATTTGCTCGCGGTATTGCAAAAGGAGGGGCCTAAGCCTGATAACATAGCATATAACACGGTAATTGATTCTCTCTGCAAAGACGGAATGGTGGATCAGGCTCTTGACCTTCTCCCTCAGATGACAGAAAGAGGGGTTTTCCCTAACATCGTCACGTACACTTCGTTGATACAAGGCCTTTGCCATTTTTGCCGATGGAAAGATGTTACAAAGTTGATTGATGAGATGGCGCGGCATAATGTATACCCAAATACCCGTACGTTCAATATATTAGTGGGTGCCTTTTGCAAGGAGGGGAAGTTGAAAGATGCAAAAAGTGTTGTTCAAATCATGATTCAGAGGAACACTTACCCTGACGTGATCACGTACAACAATCTAATCGAGGGGTATTTTTTGCAAGGGCAGATGGATGAAGCTAGGAGAGCCTTTGACCAGATGGTAGAGGAAGGCATTCAACCTGATCGCGCAAGCTACACCACATTAATTACTGGGTATTGCAAAAGAAAAGCAATGGATGAGGCCATGCATCTTTTTCTTGAAATGCAAGAGAAAGGGATTTGTCCTGATGTTGTTACATACACAGCAGTGTTGCAAGGGCTGTTTCTGGTGGGCCAATTCGACGCTGCTTTGAATATTTTTCAAAATATGCAACTTTCTGGACATGCACCTAATTTTCACACTTACTGTGTCTTGCTTACCGGTTTGTGTGATAACGGGCATATTGGGAAGGCCATGTCAGTCTATAGTAAGTTAAGTAGAAACGAGAGCGGTTCTCATGTTTTTGGTAGTATCATTATAGATGGGCTTTGCAAGATGGGGTTACTCAATATTGCACGCGGCATATTGAGTAACCTCTTCTTTAAAGGTCAATACCTAAATAAGTACACGTACACTGCGATGATGAATGGACTTTGTCAAGGTGGATTTGTACACAAAGCCTTAGAGCTTCTGAGGAGAATGGGCGAGATTGGATGTGAGCCAGATTCAATCACTTACAATGTTATTTTGCAAGAATTTGTTAGAGCGAAAAAACTGGACGAGGCAAGTATGCTGTTGGAAGAAATGTCCAATAGGTGCATTTCTCCAAACAATCACACATTGACCTTGATGAATGACTTGCTTGCATTTGGAACAGAAAACGAAACAGTACCAAAGGTGATCAAGAAATTCACACAGAATCTTTGAATCTTTTTTTTGGCAGATTCTCCTTCCTAATGCATAGACCAGCTTGCCACAAAAGCCATGGCAGGTAACACTTCTCTTATATTCTCAAAGTAACATTCTCAAACTACTAAATGTAATATTAGTGCACCAAACTTTCCCGCCTTTATGGCTCTCTACAATATTTGTGTCTCCGTTGCTAGTTTTATTGTCTGTTCTTGTTTTCAACAAGGGTGTCTTTAATCAGTTTTATGTATGAAATGCCTTTTGTTGTGCCCTACAACAACAAAAGCCAATAATATGGCTTATGCTATATTGCTTCTGGGTATTATTTCTACTCAATTTTTGAGACAAAGGTTCTGCTACTCTGAAGAGAGGCTACTGGAGCAATTGTATTTAGGAGAAAACCATAAGAAAAGCTACTGGCACAATTTTATTCAAAAAACCACTTTGAGCCTGTTTGAGGGGACCCAAGTTTTTTTGTGTAAAGACTGGTATGATCTCATGGCTTTAAAAAACCACTTTGAGCCTGTTTGAGGGGACCCAATTTTTTTTTGTAAAGACTGGTATGATCTCATGGCCTTAAAAGAGTCACCAGGGTCCTAGAGTTTTTTTTATATATAAAGATTAAAGACTACAGGGATATTTTTCAGCACTAATATCTAATATTATGACAAATAATATTTTTTGAGTCAAACATGATGAACTTTGAGCTTCAATTAAACAATAATTATACTATATATTAGCGTAAAAATGATTTTATTATATTTATCTTGTTGCAAACTATTGAAATTTTTATTTCATTGTACAAATATGCGATGCAAGTGGAAACTAATTAAAGCTCAAAGTTTGTACAGTTAGATTCGAAAAAATTTAAACTGGATAAATATATGGAGGTTTTATGTCACAATCAATAAAAAAAATTGTACTTCCTATTTTATATTTATTCACATGTCCTGCTTGTCTTCTGTTATGACAATCATCTTGTTTTTAATTTTCTGTTTTCTTTTCTTCATTTACAATTGACTGAAAAAGAACTTTTTTTTGTGCATTTCTTTTTTTTTTGTCAATTGCAAATAAGAAAAAGAATAGAAAATTTAAAACGAGCCGATGATCCTAGCAAACCATATGAATAATCAAGAATAATATAGGAATTATAGAGTATTTTGACAAATTTTCACATTCATTACTCACACGCGCAAATTTTATTCACTTTGTTAGTTAATTTTCGTTGCTTATTTAATAAAATAATATCGTTATATCATCTCTAGTTTTGTAGATTTTTTATCTAGTTTTTAGATATCCTGAGCATGTAATTTTTTTTAAATTTCAAATCATTTTTCTTATAAACGAATATCATAACGCACAATAGGAGATTATTATTGAATGGATGGAGTAAATTTTAGCATTGAAAAGTATCTATGGTCTTTACAAAAGAACGTATGGACCCTAATGGTTTTTTTAAATAGAAATCATCCTAAATAGGACTAAAACATAGAGAAAAGTACCAAAATAGGACTTTGCATTGTGGTAATGTGACTTTGCATTGTGGTAATGTGACAGTGTGTAAATTACTATACTTTTTTGGTAATGTTTATGACCATGTTTGGTAATGTATATGACCATGTTTGGTAATGTAGTCCTATTTCGGGAATAAAAACATGAAAGTCCTATTTTGGTATATTTTCAGTGTTTTAGTCCTAGTTTGGTCTTTCTCCCTTTTTTAAAACACCAGGACTCACAAATCGAGAAAATTTGTGTCATGTCAAAATAATCTTTTGCAATTTTAATAGAACAACATTAGCTTCTACAACAAATCAGAAACAAACGAGAGACAATTCGCGTGATGAATTTTAACGACTATTTTAGAAATGATTTTGCCTTCACCGGTGCGATATGATCAAAGGTGTCGCTCCCACGTATCACGTATGGAAGCTAGAGTCTTTGCATACCCACATAAGACGGTTGGAACCCTATGAAATTGCCCTACAACAAGAAGAAATAGTCGGGAACCTGGAATGTTTATTGAGGGCTATCGTGGGAAACACTCAATTATAAAGTGTTATATAGATAATTATTATTTATTGATGACTATTGAAGAAAAATATCTCAATTACGAGGTATCATATATTCATATACCTCGTAGTAAGTACTTATTGCTTATTGATTTACAAAAATGCCTTTTTAGAAAGAATCTTTTTGGATATTCACACTTGAATAAATTTAATCATATACTGAAAGTGATGAAATAAAATGAATCGCATCATAAAATAAATTATTAATCATCAAATAATTTTATTATACCAAAAATATCTTTAGAACATACTCCGTATATTCTACAAAAATGATGTCTATTACAAAATTGGAAATCAATTCAAGAAAGTATAATCAAGAACACTATAAATCTATCTATATACAAAGCTAAGAAGGACTTTTGAACAGTGTTCCCGCCTAAATGAAATGGGCCAAACATGAGAATGCTTTTTAGGGGCAAGTTTGGGCTTATAAAACGGGCCACTATCACTTTTTCATATTTTGCCTTATTTATTTATATTAAATCTGAGTAAAGATTTGCAAATATATTGATTAATGTGTCATACAGTCTTGAGCCGCGGTAAACTGGGCCTACAGTTGTCAATGTTCCTTCCTTTTTAGTATGGAGTATTAGAGATGTGCAATTGGCTACTCTGTACTCCACAAGCAGCAAGTGGAATCATTAGGTCATCTCCAATGGGATGCCCAAAGGAGTTGCTCAAAGGAGAGAGAAGAGGATGTTTAGGAGAGAGAAGAGGATGTTTATAGGTGCCACTATTGGAGATAGATGCTTAGGGTAGGTGTTCAAAGAAGAAAGAGAGTGAAAGATGCTCAAGAGAGCATCGGATGCTAGCATTCAAAATCATGTGTCCATTCTTTTATTTTTTTGTAAAATAAGCTTTTTTTAATAATACACTCTCTTTTTAATGTTTTTTTTCTTTTCATTTGTCTCTTTTTTTCCCCGGGAAAAAAATCTTTACCATTTTTTTTATACAAACCCATTTTCCTAAGTTTTTTTTCTTTTCTTTTTCTTAACTTGTAATGATACGATAAAAAATTGTTAGCCTTGGTTTGCCATAAATCTGTTTGAAATAGTCTTTTATTTGATTGAGTATGATGTGCACAAAATAAATAAATAAATAAATACTCCATAAAAAATATGACACCCTATTTTATTTTTAGTAATACCACCGTGCCTTTAATTTTTTAACCAAAATTTTTTAACAATAAAAAAAGTCATTGATTATATTTTTAATTATTTACACTATTTTTTTCTTAAAAATCTTTTAATTAATAATTAATTACTCCATATTTAACACTTGTATATATAATACAAAAATCCATAATTAATAATATAAAAATGGCATTTATATGTGAATAGGATCCACCCAAGGAATCTCAATGAGATGTCACCATTAAAAGATTTGGATGTTCAAAGAGATGCTCCAATACTATCTTTAAGATAAAACCTACATTTGGGCATCTAATGAGAGGTGCTACCACTGTGGATGCTCTTAGAAGAGATTTCCAAATTTCTTGATAAATGTGCCAAAGCTTTTAAATTTCAATGATAATAATCATTGACCTTGCCAGATGTGATGCCCATTGGAGAAGCGGAGTACACTACTCGCCTAGAAGGGCTAAGGGAGTAAAGGAACGACGCTTCTAGAGGGACTATTTGGGGGTATAAATCAAAAAATGGGTTAGGGTTTAGATAAAAAGGGTGGGTCGGCCCATTACACTCCCTATCACCTGACTCACGGAGTATTTATATCAATTTTCGAGTAGTGTTATAAATCAATCAATGGGATATGCTAGGGACCCAAAATGTACATCACTTGCCTCTATACCATTCATTCTATTTTCTTTGTATTTTTTACTTTTTTTTTTGAATTTTTCATGCCTTTTTTGTGTGGTGATGGAGGGGGTGGGGATGTTTGAGATACACTTTTGGTGTACCCCTAGCATTTTCCTAAATCAATTGATACTAGGAATTGATAACTGTTTGTGAAATTATATGAAAGTCGGTAATAAGCATACAAAATTCTCATGCGGTTACAAAATTCATTGATAACTACTAACTATGACTGAATACGACTAAAACATAGAGAAAAGTATCAAAATAAGACTTTCATGTTTTTTTTCCCGGAATAGGATTTTGTATTGTGATAATGTGACTTTGTATTGTGGTAATGTGGCGGTGTACATGTGCAAATTACTATACTTTTTTGGTAATGTATATGACCATATTTGGTAATGTAAGTCTTATTTTGGGAATAAAAACATGGAAGTTATATTTTGGTATAGTTTCAATGTTTTAGTCCTACTTTGGTCTTTCTCACACTCTTTTAGAGATGGAGGGAGTACAATCTAAGAGGTTAAGTTTGTTTTTTTACCAAAACATAAATGGGTCGAAAATTAAATTTGGTTCTAAATTTAAAATTGGATAATCAAACCATAGCTCAAGTATTGTATTTTACATTTTTTTCGGCTGAAAATTTTAGATATACATATTTTTTAAAGTAAAATTATAATAAATGAAGGTGATAGTCAAATTTAATCTAATATGGCGTTATCAATGACGTAATCAATTAACTTTTCCTGTCGTAAGGTTTAATAGTTTTTTTCTTTATTATAAAAATATTAATTTGACAAAATAACACGGGACAAAGTTGTTATTTCAAGACTTTCTTTAACTCATCTAGATACGGGAAATTCATATAAATTTTGGTGAAGACAATATCAATTATGACTTCTAATGCTTACTATCAATCATTGTCTCACGTTCGTCAACTTTGAAAGAAAATGATATACAGTCACGTTAAAAAATATGTTGCAGTTTCATGTATGATAAATGGAGAAATGTTGAGGATAGTGATTTAAAATGAAGAAAAAACATCTTCAAGTCATACTACTAATTGCGCTCACTTAACCCTAAAAATTAACTTAGAAATATGGTCTTAAATTTTAAAATTATTCCTTGATCATTAATTAATCACTATTTTTAAATGAGAGGATAAAATGAGAAGATATATTAGGATGAATGAAAGAGATATGTGACTTTATTTTAAATGTGTTATGTGACTTTATCTTGAATGTGTTATGTGACTTTAATTTGGTTGAGAATCGGGCAATTCTTGCACTAACTCTAGATGTTGTGGATGAAATCAATGACTACATGACATCATTGAACAACGTTGGAGAATGAAAAGCTACCTTAGTTTTGATGCAGTGTGTAAGTCTGATTCAAATGCAGATTTTTTGATAGACTTGCATTCTCCAAAATTTTTGAACATCATACGAGCTTCTGGAGTTCCAAATCATGAACTAAAGTTGAAGGTTGTAACACCCATTTGAATTGTTGAGAATTATTGAACAATCATCAGGTTTGTGCAGTGGTACAAGGTTGATAGTAACTTGACTTGGCAATCATCTTATTCAAGACATAATGATGGCAGGAAAAAATGACGGGCAAGGAGTTGTTATCCCACGGTTGGCCGTTAGATGCAAGAATTTCTTTTAGTTTCAAAGAAAACAATTCTCAATTATGACTTCATACACAATGACAATTAACATATGTAAAGGCCAATCTTTGTCGCACGTTGGATTGCTACTAAAAAAATCGGTATTCAGTCATGGTCAACTTTATGTTGCAATTTCACGTGTTACAAGTCGCGAAGAGTTAAAGATCTTGATTTGCAATAAAGACCTTCCGTCATCCAACCAAACTACGAATGTAGTTTATAAAGAAGTATTCCAAAACTTATAACACTTCATATTGATTACGGTTTTTACTTTATAATACCTTATTTTGCGCAATTTTAATAAAATTTGTAATTTTTTAAGTTTTGTACCATTTTCTGTTATTCCAACCCAAGACTAAGTATAAGTAATTTTACAACCTGTGCATCGCACGGGTACGAGTCTAGTATAGTTTGACATCTTAGATTGTCACATAAATTTGCAACTAGTCAACATTTTAAGCCATTGTGTGACGTACTGAATTAAACAAGAATTTTACTGATTCTTAATTAGAATTTTACAGATTCTACAATTCTTCTTTACTCAAAATTATTAAGGATTGAATAAAATATTAGAGACATCAACATCAAAGTCAAGGAATTATATGTCATCTAATTTAAACTCAAATATTTAAAAAACACTTAGCATATATAACAATTTTGATGAAAATGGAAGGACTCTGTAAAATTCATACGAGAATTTAAATCTTGTTTATGAGAACTCTCAGTGTCTCGGATTTATCGATTTGAGAAACATCGATAGTGTCAACCTTGGTGTCAACAGCATGACCCTTTCAAACACTTTATAACCCGAGGCTGCATAGAAATAGGAATTCTAACTAATACTCCCTCCGTTCCTTTAAATCCTTCCACTTTTGACTTTTGGCAAAAATAAGGAAAATGTAATTTTGGTTGACTTTCCAATTTTACCCATGATGTGATGTGTAAAAGTAAGATGTGAAAATTTGGTTATTAGTGAAAAAATATGATGTGATATGTAAGATATGAAAAAGTAAGGGTAAAAGTGGTTTTTTAATAGAAAGTAGAAGTGTTTTAGGGAATTCAAAAAAAACGAAAGGGGAAGTGTTTTGTGGAACGGAGGGAGTATATCTTAAACATTTTCTATACCTACTTCAACGAGGGAGACCGTCTAGGATTTGCAACACATTATGCCTATCGTTGACGATTCTTTGCCTTGCGTAAAACAGAAGTAGCATCTTGTCAAGCATGTCTTCTTTATTGGCCGCCGAAGTATTAGATGACCAAAAATCATGTTTCAGCATTTTTTTTAAGTTGAAACAACTTAGAACAAGCTGCAATATCAGCACAAACAACTAATGTCATATAAAAGCTGATAAAATATGATGTTAAAGTAATGCTGCATTTCCCTACCTAAAAATCACTTTATAAATGTATTTCCTTCTTAAAAGCACTCTTTCTGATATGTTATTCTTACTTTAGATTTTTTGTATTTTTGATTGCCACTTGAAATACCCTAATCTTATTTAGAGAGCAGCTAATTCCTAAATAGGCTCTAATGCAGAGGTTTTTGAAAAATGTTTAATTACCACATGAACTATTCTTAACTCATTCAGAGGTGTTTTATTAATTAATAAGGATCCACATTCGACCCGACACACTTATTCAGAAAAGTGAAATTGTGTGATTGAAATTTGTGCACATGAGAAAATTAAATCGAGCCACACAATTATTACCTTAAAAAGAAAGCGAAACCTTCTTTTGGAATAGACCAAAAGGTATTACTAAACATTTACGCTTGGACCAGTGCACTCTTTCATTTCCTACACATTTTAAAGGTGGGGTACCTAATTGGCTGCTAATCAGGACCTGGATGCCTTATCCCATCTAAGAGCCCAATGGGTGCCTAGTGACTTTAAGAACACAGATGCCAATAACATGGATCACTATGAATGTAACTTTTGTAGGCATTCAAGTAATCCTGCGTAGCAATAGACAAGGCTAGAAAATAACCTTGTAGGAAAACACACTTGCCAGAAAATGTCAAATTCTCCTTCTGTTGTCCACTCGCGCTTTTTTAGATGCTCCAGCATCTGATACTTCTGCACTGGATTGTATCTACAATGGTGGGAAAACCAATCTGTCATTTAAGTCCACTTGAAACTTGCAAGCAAGTTGCAGTAAAATTCTTATTTACCTTGTTTAGTTTATCCCTAACCAATTGAACAGTTTGGTTCATAGATTGTGATGGAAAATATTCCTGTAATTGAACAGATAGAGATAAACATTATTTTCTACAGAGAAGACCATTTATGGCAACTTTCATGATATTCATTTCATAAAAATATTCTTTAGCAAGTTGCAAATGATACAAAAAATAGTGCAAGTGATTTCACTTCTTCATATTCACTTTGTAACTAACCTTTTCAGAAGACACTACAGTCATAAAAGAAGAATCTCTATCATTTGCAGTCTCATGTGGCGTCATGAACTGACTAAAAAAACATGGGGTTATGCGTTAGTAAGTAGATCCTATTATTTATAAAACAAAATATAAAAAAACCACACCTTTTTTGCGAAGAAATTTGCCTTTGATCTAGCCCTGGCATTTGAGGGGTACAGTTTATATGTGAGGAGTTTGAAGTGAATTTAGATGTGCTGAAAACATTTGGCCTATGGATTGCAGAACTTATGGGCTTCTGAGCTGAAATATCATAAGTAGCAAGCAAATTATTTTTGAAGAGGACTAACAAACCGCTAAAAAGATAATCCCTCCGTCTCAAACTTATTCTTCTTTTAGAAAAAAATCTAGCAATTTGCCTCAAAATATTAGTTTTGGAAATTCAGTGCATATTTTTATACTCTTTCAGAATTTCCCATAGTAATGCACTAATGCTTTTATAAAATGCATTTTATGATAAACATAAATATGTATAGAAGAGACATTTCCTAAGGTTAACACACATTTTTAGAACAAAGAATATTTTGGGATGGAGGGAGTACAGGTTGATAACTTACACTTCACTCGTGTTAGAACTTCCCTTCGCCTCCCTTCCAACTTCTCCTTTGTATCAGATAGAGTCTCATATTGAGGGGCATATGTGACCTGAATCCTGTTCCCCATGAATACAGACTCATCTAATTTCCTTTTGGCAAACCTATATAAAAAATATTTGTATTTTACTATTTCTCATGATAAGCCCCATATGAGTGCCAAAATGATGTAGTGACTATTTTCTGACACAACCCATTTTATATTACCTGTATAAACACCAAAGATCACCGACCCTCAAAGAAAAATTAGTTATTCAGCACAGAAGTGCATGAATATATGTAAATGCACCTTTTGATTAATTAAGCATGTTATTGTACCTTTTTATTAACATACTGTATATTCTTATTCATTTAAGTGATGTTATTTATTTCCATCATCTCCGATGGAGCCAAAATTTCACCATTTTTTGGCTTTGGGGTGTGATGGAATAAATCAAAATGGATTTCTAAACTGTCTGCGCTTCTTTAATTAATGAAGCAGCAGTTAGTCAAGCAATGCAACTTTCGACGTTGAGCCGGGGGTCTCTTTGGAAACAGCCTCTCTACTTTCGAGTAGGGGTAAGGTCTGCGTACACACACCCTCCCCAGACCCTACTCTTGTGGGATTTAACTGGGTTGTTGTTGTTGTTGTTAAGTGATGTTATTTTTTGATACTGCGGAAATTGTGTTTTTAATTATACATAGGATTCCTGTAAAGTGTGGTAAATGGAAACTTATAATTCAATGAATTTAAAAAGTTTGAACAAAACATAGTATTAACATTGCAAAAGAATGGATAAAATGATAATGATGTGACACATAGCATCAATGCATGTTCCGTAACAAGTAACAATAGACAAGAGAAACTGAAGCATTGAGCTATTCAGCTATCGTTATGTGACTAACAGTGAAGGGAAAATTATGAATGCCAATGCTTGACTGAAAAAAGAATTTGTCATTGCAATTTCCAATGCTTGAATGAAATTATTTTCAATTTAATTTATTTCAATATGGATGTAAAATTTAAAAATAAAATTTATATATTTAAAAACTATTTCAAAAGTTCTACAAAAACAAGAGGTAGTTTAACAATGTTATATTAACAAATGATCAATGAAACAATGTAATGAAAGAAGATATGAATTGACCATGTGAATAGTGAATAGTAAACACAAAGATCTTTTTGGTAAGGGGTAGATCGGAAAGTTGAACAATTGAGAACAGGGAAAATGAGTGCATGGGAGATGTGTATATTTACAAAATGTAAGGCTACATAAGAAAAGATTATAAACCCAATTGAGGGATTCATTTGAAGGTGAGAGTAGCAATTAATTGGCTATTGAAGATTTGAAGACAAGGTAACGGGTGACCAACTGCAATGATACATGCATTTTTGTCATTGAATATTCCAAAGCAGAGAGGTTATCTCTATTTCAGTTCAGTGAAATAAACTCAAACAGAAATGCTTTTGAATGACCTAATGAGGTTATCCCTTTGTTCATGTAGACTAGCCCATTGTTTGGAACTAGAGCTTTATGTAGTTGCTTTTCAAGTTAAAGTATTCCCCGTACGAGGATTTGTTAAAGAGGCATACTATCCTAAACTAATAGATTAAGTACAAAAAAAATGTGTTTTTCAAGAATAGCCCATTAAAGATCCCACGAATGGGGTTTGAGGGGTGGCCGGATGGGTGTACGCAAATCTTACCCCTACCAAAAAAGATATCAAGGTTGTTTCCAAGATGACGGGGTTACTTTTAACCTTTTCAATTTTTCTTTGACTTTTTGGTGTGTCTCTTAACCCTCCTGTTTAGATACCAAAAAAAAATCCAATTATTAAGAGTGTAGAAAGCTATTGTTACCTGGCATTGTCTGTTCTTTGAAACTTGATCCAATAGACATCAGTAAATGGTTCACAGTCTTCAGCATCCATTGGTTTACATCTGAGTAAAGACACCCATAAAGTATAGCTAGTAAAAAATATCATTTAGGGCCTGTTTGGGAATAGCGTTAGAGATTAGCGTTAGCGTTTTGGATAAAATTTTAACGGTGCACACTACTTTGAAAACGCTAACGCTAAACGCTGCCCGTAGATAGCCTTTTCAAAACGCTAATGCTAATCGCTAACGGTTTTCCCAAACAGACCCTTAGTCTTTAATATAAACGGTGGTCTATGCTCCCCCCCCCCCCCACCCCCTCAAAATTGAAAAGGCAAACAACCCAACATAATTTACTTCTTCAATGGGCTTTCTGCAGAAGGTCGAAATTGAAGCTTTTCTGATATAAGAGTTTGTAAAAGCAATGTATAACACCCCCAACATATAAGTTCCATGGCACTATGGCAGTAAAAAATGTATGTGCAGCAAAGAAACATTCAAGAATTTCATTCAAGCCACGAAAGGAAATAATATAAAAAATGAATATGGAAGTTAAACAGAGTTTAGAGAGCATTGTAAAGTACTCTTCAACTTCTCCATAAGCAGAAAACAATTTTGCGAGATCATCGCCACAACCTAGGGCTGGAACATTCCTCACAATTAGAAACCTGCCACAGATTCCAATGAATTCAAAGTAAAACAAGATGATTTTGATTCATGAATCAATGGCCATTTTTTAAGATAGAACGAACTTGGATTCATCGCAAACGGTGTATACTCGGATTGCAGGAGGCTCGTCCCTGAATCGAGGCATTAATGTTCATCTGTGGGACGAAATTTAGAATATTTAATAGGTGATGTTTGGAGAAAGATTTGTAAAATACTCCGTATTTATACCCGGAGTATCAAAACAATTTCTTTGGGAAAGTTTTGACAATTGAGAGAAAATATTTTTAGTATGCACGCAGTATATAGTTATAATGGAATTGGAAAAAAAAAATACTCCGTATTTCTTTTGAAATCATTGTATGTTGCTCTTAGATCCAAAGCTAAAAGTGTTTTGAATATTGCAGTGGTGACATTAAAATGTTACTCTTACCTAGTTCGTACACGTCATGAAACTTTTCCAAAAGTGAAAATGAAATCTTTTTTTCATCCGACCTTTTAGTGGGACAATTGAAAAAAAAGTGGAAATCCTTTACACTATGTTTGGTTCAAGGAATTTGAGAGGGAAAAGAAAAGAAAATGAGAAGGAAAATATTTTTTCTTGTTTGATTAGAAAGGAAAAGAAAAGAAAAGTGGAAGGAAAAGAAAAATAGAAGGCAAGATGTACTAAGGGGAAGGAAAATCAAATTCCTCCCATTTTGGTGAGGAAAATGAAGGAAAATCATTTTCTTTTCTTTTTGTACCAAATTCCTTGAACCAAACATAGTGTTAGTGGGATGGGGGGAGTAGATTGTACGAAGTATATTATATTCAATCTTTTAATAATATTGTAGTAGAGAAGTAATTGCAAAATCCAAACCTGTTTTCTTTTATCAGTAGTTGGCACGGAATAAAATACTAGTTTGAAGAAAAATGTGAGCGACACAGTTGCAAAAAAACAAGAAAATAACGAACAAGGCAACACCTTTTGATTTATTTATTTTTTGATGGTTTTTTTCTCAACGTTCTTACTTGGTTTGATAGTATGCTTGAGCCATGATTTTCTTAGAAACGGTCTATCTACTACTTTACTTGTGGGACTTTACTGGGTTCTTTGTTGTCGATGAAACTTTTCAGATTTCATTTATAAAAATTCACTCTATAGACGAATGAGTGGTGTTTTCGCCTTTTTTGCCATCAACGAGCTCATTGCACATATCCCTTCGCCAACAAAGCATGCCTCCCATCTTCATGGGTTCGCACTCGTCTATGACCCCGTTACTGAAGTGGGCTTGCCGCAATGATATCAAATGCATGACACCCTCCTCCGAGCCACAAACAATCATCGTCCTGCAATTGCATAATAAGGGTAGCAAATTTAGGGGCAACATCAAAACAAGGTTCACGTTTTCAATTTTTTGTCATCTCAGAATAAGCTTCATTTTATCTTTTAAGAGAAGAACGGCGTGGTCCATATCCTTTCTCTCTTCTCTGCATAACCCTAAATCACAAAATCACAGTTTCTTAATAGGCATGGGGTCGGTCAGACCCACAACCTGATTTGGGGAGCAAGAGAGTATATCATTTGACATCAATAGAAAGATCTCAATTATAGTCCCTTGCATTTTTCAATCCTAACCTGCTGAATTGGTCACAGTATCCTGTTTAGTTGAAACAGTAGGCTCACACATTAATACTGTATTTCCTGTTGGTTCATTGTACTGGGCATAAGCAAAGAAAGTACACAGTTAAGGGAGCATACCAAAGAATTCATATCAGCAAATACAGCAATTCACTTTCCCGTCTGATTTTAAATTTAGATGCACACCCACAGAATATCATTTCGGCACAATGGTTGGGAACATACCTGAAACACCTTTTGAAGTTCAGCAATAGACTTCATCGTTTTGTCTTCAAAATTTGTTGCACGATCCCCAAAACTTTTCAATTCACGCACAATAAGTTTATTCGGAAATTCTTGAAGCATGAATTACTGGTTATAAGCATCTATAAAATACAACATACAAAGACATTCACACAAAAAAAAAGTGATGGAAATTTTTTAGATGTTACATGCTGAAGTGGAAGAGTGAAACTTCATCAAACACAGGTTTCGGGATGAATCAATCTTTAATGTTTTGGAGAAAAAAAAAGAGGATCTATAACGGTTTACAAGTTTTTTTCTAGCAAAACTGGATAGAATATCAAATCATACTTCTTGTCTGGTAAGAATAATTATACTAACCTAACAAAGCCAATAGCATTTGATAGTTTTACCCTTTCATTCCAATATTACTTCTATTTCCTTTGTTTGTGGTGATGAGAGTCAGCGAGACTAGTCGGTTGCAAAGAATTCATGAACAATTTCCATCTGCTTCAATCATACTGCAGCCAGGAGTTTTTACCACACCCTGCTGCATCATTAGACCTCTAACATCGCCAGCATTGTCCCAGTTTCCCTTTGAAGCATATATATTGGAAAGTATAACATGAAACCCATCATGGTGGGGTTGAAGCTCAATAAGTTTTTTACCAACTCGTTTCCCCATTTCACTGTCCCCGTGCTTTATGCAAGCTCCAAGCAAAGCGCCCCACGTGGGGACATCTGGAGCCATAGGCATGCTCTGAATGAGCTTTTCAGCTTCGCAAAGCAGTCCCGCACGGCCAAGTAAGTCAACCATACACCCATAGTGTTTCGAATTAGGCTCAATGTTGTACAACTTCACCATGGAATCAAAATAATGACGACCTTCATCTACCATCCCCATATGTCTACAAGCACCAAGAACTGCCAAAAAGGTTACCTCATTAGGAGTTACTCCACATTTCTTCATTTCTTCAAATGTTTCGAGTGATCTTTGAACCTCTCCATTCATGGCCAACCCATGAATTAAAGCATTCCAGGAAGAAACACCTCTGTCTTCCATTCCATAGAAGACCTCCATAGCATTCTTTGTGTAGCCACATTTCATGTACATGTCTATAAGAGTGGTACCAAGAATGATATTAACTTTAAGCCCCTTATTCCCAATATATGCATGAATCCATTTGCCTTGTTCAAATTCTGTAAGGTGGGCACAAGCTGAAAGCACACTAACTAAAGTGATCTCATCGGGCTCAATGTGTCCATATAGCATTTCCTGGAATAAAGCTAAAGCCTCTGAGAAATGATCATTTTGAGCATAGCCGGAAATCATTGTGGTCCATGATACACAATCCTTCTCAGGCATAGAATCAAATAACGCTCTGGCCTTTTCCACTGATCCGCACTTTACATAGCCAGCAATTATGGAATTCCAAGAGATTTGATCCAAATGACTACTTGATTCAAACATGTTTCGTGCGGAATTTAAATCACCACAGCAGGAGTACATATGAATTAAAGCATTTTGAAAATTCACATATGATTCAAAACCAACCTTAATAACAACCCCGTGCACTGATTTTCCGGTGTCCAGAACTAACAAATGTGCACAAGCAGAGAGCACAGTGACCACCACAACTTCATCTACAGTAATCCCAATGGAAATCATTTGCAAGAACAAATCCAAAGCCTCTTTATAAAGCCCATTTTGCTCATGGCAAGAAATCAACGCAGTCCAGGAAACCAAATCTCTTCTACCCATCTCATTAAACAAACGGCAAGCCTCATCCACCATACCACACCTACCCAACAACACAATCATTGAGTTTGACGCAATTACATTCCTCTCAGGCATCTGTGCATAAATTATCATTGCTTCCACAACATTCCCTGCTTGAACATACCCTGCCAAGATCGAGTTCCAAGAAACCAAGTCACGCACATGACTTTCATCAAAGACCTTCCTTGCATCGCCCATATTCCCACATACTCCGTACATGTTAATCAAAGTATTACAAACATAAACATCTGATCCGAAACCCCTTTTAAAGACATGACTATGCAACTCTCTGCCTTCAAATACTGAACACCGGAGAATGCTAGCTTGAAAAAGAATCGGGTACGTAAAATTATCCACACACAAGTTATCCCTCAATGTTAATTTATACAAAAAGATCGAATTTTGGGGCATGTTATGATGCACATAAACTCTCATCACGGTGTTTATTGAAAAACAATTCGGGTTTTCGATGTGACCAAATATCTTCTCAGTGCAGCTGATGCCGATGAAAGGAGAATCGGCTGAAAACTTGAGAATTCTGCTTGCAGCATAGGTGTCTTTGATGAGCCCAGTGGATACCATTTGTGAGAAAATTTGGCAGAAGTGTTTGACATTCTGGCAATGGAGGAGAAGGGACTCCAAAATTGAGATGTTTATAGTCAGACTGGAAACCGATTTCAAGGGAGCACTCAATTTTATTGCAGCAGAAGCACCCAACTTTGCGAAATTCATATATGTATTTTCTCATTTACATGTACATGTGCACCTGTGAATCAGTGCAGTTTTTGTCATTCAGTGGTGGTTGTAGGCTTTATGGTAGAGGAAAGCTTGACGTGTGATTAACCCTCCCTCGACTCAAAAGGGGGGGGGGGGAAAGAAAATCAAAGATTGTTGGCGACAAAATTTTCAAAGAAAATAGAGGCAAACAACATAACGAGAAGCACAGCTAATGGGCCAAGTTCACATAAAAATAAACATCAATGTCTACCCTAAAAACTGTACTAAACACACAAACCAAGAAAACATAGAGCCTAAACTATCTACTATGCTTCTATCCTAAAATCATCGACCGCTAAAACTTTGCATTTAACTATTTAAGGTCATGTAAACTAAACCCATTGTTCTAATTTATGGTACAAGGATGCAATGCAAACATAAAGTGTAAAAATTATTCACATCCTAACACTCAATTTTTTTTAAATAAACGAATTACAAGAGAATCCTCATATTTCTTCATGCTCTTTTGCTCTTCGAAGATTTACAGAAAAACCAAATGCAACCGAAAATGCAACTGTAAAACTTAGGAGCCCTACTAATTGTAACACACTTTTAGGGAAATTTTCACAGATTTGAAGAGCAGACTGAAGCACGCTTAGATTTGAACCTTGAAGAACAGACTGAAAACATGCTTGGATTTGCGGTCAGGGGCGGACCCACGTTGAGTCATACGGGGTCACGCGACCCCACGGAAAATTTATAATTTTATAAATATACCTATAGGTATACGTATTTGGTCATAATATATACCCAACAAACGCAATAGGAAGAGGTAAAACGAGCAGCCGGAGTGGAAATTGCGGATTCGTGCGCCTCTAGTATCTTGAATTCTACTCCCATTGAGGATTTGTTTTTCTCGCTTTTTTTTGAAATCCTCCCTCAAAGCTCTTTTTTTGTGTATTTTTTTCTTGATCTTCTTCCTCTTTAAGAAACCGTTTTTTAAAACATAGTTAAATGTGAATTGGATATACGGATTTATTTTTTGTGAATTTTAAAATTTATTTTTTCAATTTGTATATTGTGAATTAGATTTATATTTTGTAAGCATTCTTCTTTTGTTTTTTTTCGGAATTTCTATACTAAAGTTTTTTTTGTGTACTTTTTGTTCTTCACTCTTCAAGAGAATTTTTTTTAGCATGATTGAATGGGAATTGGATATTTAGATTTGTTATTTGTGAACTGTGAATTTTTAAATCTATTCTTTTCAATTTGTAATTTGTGAATTACATTTACATTTTATAAGATCGTGAATATGTTAAAATGATTGAGTTTTGTTGAAAATTTATAATGTTCTTAATTATTTACATTTCAATATAGGAAACAAAGGTATTAAGTATTATAATAAATCACTTTCGAAATATGAAAACTAGACTTTCAAATATTTATTTTATATTTTTAATGAAAGAGTATTATTAATTTGTGATTTTATGACATATGTGAACTATAATATTATAATTCCACCATCCCTTAATGTCCTTTCCATTTAGATTTTTAGGAGAATTAAGGAAGGATATCTTTGTTTTGACTTTCTAAATATATTCTTAATGTGATGACTAAAAATATGATGTGACGGGTACATTATTAGTAAAAATGTATGATGTGATAGGTAGGATAAAATTTAGTAGGTATAAAAATAGTTTTTTAATAGAAATTGAAAAGATTTTGAGAGACAAAGAAAAAAAGAAAGGAGAAAGAGTTTGTGGGATGAAGGGAGTACTATTTAATTTTAGAAATGTTACGGTTTGATATGAATTTCTTAAACTGCGACCTCGTGGTTCAAAAGTTCTGGGTCCGCCCCTGTTTGCGGTTTCAAGGAATAGAACAAAACCTGGTAGTTATTATAAGAAGTGACAAGTTTACAGAAATTCAAAGGGAGCTTACTTGTCTTCCGCACCGTGCCGGAGTTGTGAATTCTTCGTGGTAGAAGAATGGCGGCTGGCGGATCCAGTAAATTTTTTCACTAGGGGCATTAAGTAAATTAAAGTGAAAAAAATAAAATTTAAAAACAAGAGACAATTTAATAGATAGAACATACTTCTTACCATTAAAATTAAATTAAAAACAAGGTACAATTCAATAGATAGAACATATCTCTTACAATTGTTCTCTTCGAGTTTTCATCTTTTGAAAGCGATCAATTATATCTTCATTTTCAATTTTCATCTTGGACTATTCCCAATCATTCTGCTTGGAAATCATGGCCACGTGGTTGACATGGTCTTCTAATCAATTTTTTTCTTCTATTTTATCTCTTTGATTAGGCTGATACTCTAAAATCTTTTTTCTTTCTGAAGGATCCCACGGAAGATCACTTAAATCTATTTCTTTAGCTAGTGAAGGTATAGATAGTCCAAAATCACGTGTTGAGGGGGACTTCTGTTTAAAAAACTTCTTCATTATCTAAAAATATAAAATGAAATAAACTTTTTTACTAAATCTATGTCCAAAAATTAGAACAAATTATTCAAGTAAACCAATTGAGAATTAATACTCCCTCCGTCCCTAAATAGATTACAATTTTTTTTTCTCTCTCCTCTCGATAACTTTTGTTTGTTTACGCGATTTCATTAAGTATTTGATAAAATAAAATATTCTTGTCACCTCTTGTTTTGTAGAACTTTTAATGTAGTTTTTTAATATATAATTTTTATATCTTATTGATATACCAATTTGTAAATAAAATGATTATAAAAAGTAGGAAATTTTACTCTGTAACCCGCAATTTGTAATCAAATTGGGGACAGAGGGAGTATGTTTTTAGAGACTAGAGTCATCAATTCATATGTCTTGGGATAATTATAAATTATAATCAATAATAATCAACATAATAAACAATTTCATTTTATAGAAAATTGAAAGATAAAAACAAATTATCTAATTTTCAGATTTATCTAATTATTTAGATCATAATTTAAAAAGGGAAAAGATTATTTGGAAATACCTGGAATTTGTGCTTGTGCGGTTCTACGATTGTGCCATAGTAGATCGAAGGATTCGAAGCTGTGGTGGACTGGCGGCGACGCGGCTGACGGGCGACGGCGCTGCAGCCGGTGCTCCTGTTCGGATTCCAGTGTTCTGCACTTCGGCTATTCCACTGCTCCTGCTTCTCGGTTTCCGCAAACGCCAAAGGGAAGGGGAAAGCTGTAAATTTGGAGAATAATTTTAAGGGGAGTAAATTTTATTTTTGGGAATTTCGACAATTGGGCCACTTTTGGAATTGGGTCTTTAGACTTTAGGTAATTAATTGGTTTGAGCTTACTTGTCTTACCCGCCGTGCCGGAGTTGTGAACTCTTCGTGGTAGAGGAATGGCGGCTGTGGGAGGAATGGTGGCTGCTAAACGAGACCGGAGCAGGCACCTTTGCAAAGAGGGTCAAAGATTGTAGCATATTCTTGTTATTCCTCTTTTATTATTTATTTTTATTAGAATCGAATTAAAAACCCCGTTTAAATATAACGATAATCAAATTAGATTATTTCAAAACTTTTTTTAATTAGATTAGAAATAATTAGATTTGGTGGTGATGGCTATAAACCACCGAGAGTATGAAATAATATAAGTTTTAGAGAGAGAGAATACAAAGTAGGAGTATATTGATTTCAAATTCGGATCCATTACAATGAGGGGTGCCACCCCTTTTATAGGGGGTACAATACACTAAGTCAAAGCCCTCCGATCGAGGCCCGTCGTTTAGCGGACGTCACCTGTCCTTAGGTCTTGTCCCTTTCATCCTATCGCTTTCACCAAGTCTTCGTTTAACGTCGTTTTCCGCACGTCTTGTCCCTTTCATCCTATCGCTTTCCTCAAGTCTCCGTTGAACGTCGCTTTCCGCATGTCATTGTCGTGGGGCTCGGGCTCGACTTGGTCGGTCGAGCCGAGCGGAGCGCAGAGCCGGGCAGGAAGGACGAGCGGAGTGCAGAGCCGGGCAGGAAGGACGAGCGGAGCTTTGGGCCGGGCAGGAACGTCCAAGCCCGAAACTTAGGAAATTTATGCTGATGTCAGCCCCAGTGCTGGCGTGGGGTTATTCCCCATCAGAAGCCCCCCACTCTCCGGGTTCCGTGGCGTCTAGCAGCGGAGCGCGTGAGAGTAGAAAACATTGTGGACGGTCAGCTTCGTGGGCCCACGCGTAGCTTGACGGATTGGCGGCGACGTTTGGAGTCCCCCACGAACGGTTGTGGCGCTTCGCTTCTCCCAAGTGGCGGCCCATCGTGACACATGTTCGGCCCATTACTATTCGGGCCCAATTTTAGTATAAATAACCCCCAAGGCTTTCTTCATTCTCACAAATTCTAGAGAGAGAAAATATTAGGGTTGTCGTTCTCTTGCCGTTCCGTGCCGCCGTTCGCTGCTCTCTGACCGTCTCTTCGGCGGCACACTCGAGGTCAGTCCCTCTGTTCTGCTCATTCCATGTCTGTCGAGTCTTCCACTCTTCGTTCGTCTGAAGCCGAGCACGGGCTCGTGCTCGGCAGTCAGGGTTCCGTACCCCAGGGCGGCCAAGCGGAGCAGCCAGGTTCCCCATCCATTGAGGAAATCGCGGCCGTAGAGGTGCCCGGGGAAACTGAGCCCCTCCTTCAGAAGCGCACATTGCTCGTGGACTCGCTCATCCGCGAGTGCAAGTGCGACTTGTCGAGTGACGAGTTCCTCAAAGCGGTGCGCTACGCCGGCCCCCTCGTGACCGTTCGTCGCCCTACCCCGGAGGAGTCGGTCTTCGACGCTCCTCCGGGCTACTTTGCCATCCATCTCAAGTCCCTTGAGAGCGGCTTCCGCTTCCCCCTTGAATCTTTGGTCATCGACTTCTTCAAGTACTTTGACTTCCTCCCGTGCCAACTGGTGCCGAACTTGCACCGGTACTTAGCGGGGTTCTTGATCCGCTGCCAGGAGGTGGGCGTGCGGGCCGACCTTGAGCGCCTATTGACCCTGTTCCGAGTGGCGAAGTCTTCCGGGTCGGATGGGGGTTCTTTTGCCGCCCTTTGCCAGCAGCAGGAGAGACTTTTTAAAACCAAGAAGGAATCCAACAGGACTTGGAAGTCCAAGTTTGTCTTCGTCTCCGTAGGGTCAGCCTCCCCCTTCCGAGACACTCCCCTAAGCTCTTTTCGTAGGCGATCCAAACTCTTTGCCTCTTCCAAGGCTACTGCTGATACGGACAAGTTGTGTTCGGGTGGCCCTTACGAGCCCGGGGTCTTAGTGAATGACGAGGCTCTCTCCAAGTTTGGGGTCGTCTTCCATGACGAGGACGAGCCCAAGCGTCGGGTTGTCCAAAGTCAGCTTGAAGAAGGACCCTCAGGTTTCCCTCGTTCGCTTCCTTAACGGGTTTGGGCTCCTTGTAGGGATTCGAACTAATATCTTATCTTCCTTGCAGGTGAAATCATGATCTCCGCGGCCGATAGGAAGAAGCTGTTCAAGTCCAAGCCCCGATCGGAGTCCGGCCAAGAACGGGGCTTTGTTGAGCGGAGCGAGGTCCCCACCCTCGCGCTCGGTCAACTGCGGGAACCCGGCCTTCGTGAAAGTGGCGTTCCCCCTCAAGCCTTCATTCTTGCATGGGGACTATGAGCCTTGCCGTTTTCTGCAGAGCTTCATCCCTCCGCCAGACCGAATGGAGATAAGTTCGGCCGCCACGGAGGACCTGTCTCCACTCTCTTGCTCGAGTTGGGCTCGGTAAGCGTTCTTCGCTCTAGCCCGCGTGTGTTTCTGCCCGACACTTAGATCGATTCTAACAAGTTTTGCCGGAATTTCACTGTTGTTGTAGGCGGCCATGCGCGCCCCAGAGCTGGTGGAGCGCTTCGAGTGGTATGTGGCGGAGAAGGCCAAAGGCGAAGAGGAGCTTCGGAGGCTGCAGGAGCGCGTGGCTGGCCTCGAGGGGAAGCTCACCGATGCGGAGGAGCGGGCTCGAGTTGCGGGGCAGGCCCGCATTGCTGCTGAGGAGAAGGCGCGCCGTCTTGGCGAGGAAGCCGAGCATGTAATTGAGGCCTTTCAGACCTCCCCCGCGTTCGAGGAGGCGGCTCTCTCCCGCATGGACGATCTCTTGAAGGTCTGGGCTCAAACTCCCGCCGGCCAGCGTCTCCTTTTCAAGGAGGGGCAAGCCAATTACTCCATGGGATTGCACCGGGCTCAAGAGGTTTTGCTGGAGCGGATCCGAGATGGGAAGGAGCTCCCGAAGCCATGCGAGAACTCTGAGGAGTTTGACTCATCCATCTACTACTCCGAAGGCGAGGACGCCACTAGTGGGGGCGAGGACACCGCCGGTAACTGAGCGCGGCTGTCCCACCGATGAACTCCACCCTTATTTCTTTTTTTGATGTAATGTTTTTGCGCTTGAACAATGTATTTTGCACTGTGCAACTATTACCCTTGACTCTTCGTGGTTTGTGATGCCTTTATCGTTTTGCTCCGACCCTTAATCGTATTTCCTCGAATAAGTTTTGGAGGCCGAACGGCCGTTGC